TAAATGACGTAATGTAACTTATAGTAAGGTAAAGTAAATGACGTAATGTAACTTATAATAAGGTAAAGTAGACGGAGTAAATGACGTAATGTAACTTACAGTAAGGTAAAGCAAATGATGTAGCGTAACTTATAGTAAGGTAAAGTAAAGTACGTTTTCACTTGTTGCAGTGCAAACACAAGCATAAGCGCGAGCACAAGAAAAAGGAAAAATTTTGATCCTTGTGCTTGTGCTTATGTCTTCGTCAAGGACGTTTTCACGGTAAAATAAGAATTATTGTGTTTGCGCTTGTGCTCGCGTTTGTACTTACGTCGCTAGTGAAAACCACGCTTAACTAATTCTTCGGTCAAAATGACTGGACTGGCTGAAATTTCTTTGCGTTAATAAAGGCTTCGACTTCGTCTCGGTCGACAAACACGCAAAAAAGGGTTTGGGCAATATTTATATCCTGACCTCACGCTAGTGAGGTCAACAACCCACATTTATTAAAGACTTGTGTTGGAATCAATTTCAACTTATGTTTATGTGATTTTCGTCATGGCCTCTAGGCTACCAGTGGACAGAAATTACCTCTGGGATATCTTCTCTAAGTAGGTGCTTTTAAATAGAATCTGTAGTAGGGTTGTTGTATTGAGCTTCGGAGCATTACTTAAAGCTGTTCAGCTTCCAAATCGCGAACCATATCATTGTCTCCGTTGCAAGCATTGCGTCGCCAGGGTGTTTACTTCGTAGTTTCTCAGTTCGCGCGAACAAACCAAGTTTTGCGGACATTGCTCGATTTCTGTTTTAGAAATAGAACTTATTTTAATCAGTACAGCGTGATGATGACAGCCTAGAAGTCGAGCAACTTTCCTCTAGATGTCTTAATTACTTCTCAACATGCTTAATTACTTAAGCAACGCTGAACAGATTTGAATGGAAGAGTATGCTTCACTGTGCAAAAAGGCGCACGTCAGCGTGTACGGAAGTATTTAATTTTGAGGCATTCAAAATAAAAACGCTGACTCGAAATACACAAGGAATATCTCACTGTTAGAATCCGGCCTGTTTTTCCGATTTCGACTTGTACTTCAGGTTTCCATCACGCATGGCTTCCGCCTTGAATACTTAAGCATTCTCTTGGATCACGACAGGATATTCGAGGCTAGAAGACCCTAGAATAGGGTACTCTATTTGCTTTGGCCCTGTGTTTGCAGTTAAAAACCACACAGTTGAGGGTATCCTCCAATCCACGACTTGATATGTAGTTAGTATAGGTCATTGCATGAATGCGAATGTAATTAAGGATTTACACTACGAGTGATATTTGAAAATTCACTCAAAATTACACGAGCCTTTAAGGTCCGGTAATACGGGCAACATTTTTCTTCAACTTGTCTCGCAACATTGTTGCATTGCAAGTTGAAACACATTGTTGTGCGTATTACCACGTTTGTGACCAACTTGTCTCGCAGCAAAATACCGTGTTGCAAGTCTACAGAATTATACAGGTATAATTGCTTAATCGTGTGTAAGGCAAGTGCAATCTGAAAGAATTACTGTTCGGGAATATCTCCCGGCGCTGGTTCACAATCAAAGGACTGTATCTTTTGATAGATGCGTTTATTTCTCTTCCAATCTCTTGTACAATGTTACACTCTCAATGGCTATTCCGTTCTGGCTTAAAGCTCTTACATCAGTGGCTTATACACTCCATGGAATTTAATTACAACAATACTGCGCTTATATTCTTGAATTGAGTCGCTAAACTCTATTGTATTTCATAGCCCTAAAATAGAATTAGCTTATAATTATCCTCTGTTACCCTTAAATCAGTACAGTGTTACAGTAAAAATCCACTTGTAAGAACCTAATGGTTTAATAACCTGCTGGCAGAAATGTGCAATCAGTTTTAAAAGCCAAAAATATAAGAATCATTTTAGCCAAGCAAGATCAAGCAGGTTCTTATATGTGGGTTACAGTTAAATTATGAAGTCTTGTTATAGGGACACTACATAACAAATGGCATCCTGTAATCAGTTGTGTTAGACTTATCATAATACAATTGTGAATAAACACTGTATAGTTAACAACCAAAGCTAAGTTTATTTATTTCTCTGGTAATCAACAACTATATCTAATTCGTGGAAATTAAAAACCTAGTGAGAACCTGCTTAGCCTAAATTGCCAATATCTACTCCAAAATACAAGAACCTATTTTGCTAGACTTGGTAATATAGATTAAGTATAGTTTTAGAACGCCCGAAGTTGTTCTGAAAGTATTTTAGTTAATTTATTGGAATTTTGTTAGGTTCATTTAAGATTATTGTTTTGCAGAATTGATAAAGATGGGAATGGATCCATATCAGCGGATGAACTTCAACAAGCATTGTCAAATGGTGAGATACTGATTTTGCAGATTTTATAGTAGCCATACTAAGTACGCCTGTCACTCTCTCCTCCACAGGACCTCCTCAGACCATCCACAGGGGTTCGAAACATTCGTTATAGAAAGTTGCTGTGCGAGGTGAATGCAGACGCAAAGTTGAATGGATCGGTCGGGCGCTGCCTTTCCTTCCGTCGTTGCCCGTCATGTAATTCTGCGCCTGCACTCATGTCGCTCAGTGGATTCTCTCCATCCGAAAAACCTCTTTGAGTCTCTGGGTAGGAGAGAGCGCCTCCCAATTCTCAGTTGCAATCATTTTTGTCCGGTGAGATTCTGGCGTCATATGGTAAAACAAACAAAAGCTAACAAGACTCTACCACAGCCTTTTCCGAACAGGAATTTTCTAGCTTGGCAATTAAATCTACAATGGAAAATGGAAAACAACTTGACTGTGGTTACTTTCTTTTTCAGGAGCCTGGACCCCGTTCAATCCTGAGACAGTACGACTCATGATTGGTAGATATAATTATTTCAGTAATTTTCCACTTTAGCTAGTAATTAAGTTTCCTCAAAGAAAGGGAATTTGAATGTTTTCTTGGTTATTATTATTTTT